AGAGTGTTTTCTCACATTGAAAGAGTATAAAAGTGTTGGGAAGTATATCCCACATTGAAGAAGCAAGAAAGTTGTGTTCATTTTATATGGCTAAGAAGTTACTTCCTTCATTACCATATAATTTTGAGGTGGAGCCTTTTTTGTTCGTATAAAGTGGACACTCGTGACGGGTGCGGTCTAGATTCGTTTATCAGAGTTGCAATCCTTATCATAAAATTCTCATCACCCTTAATTGTGTTAGATATGTACATCCTTATTATAAAATAACTAGGTTAGTCCCGTGTGATGCACGGTTTTAGCAATAAAACATTTTCTCTTATGTGCGCTATAATAATTTAAGAAAAAACATTTCCTCTTATGTGCGCTATAGTAATTTAAGAAAAAACATAATATATAATGATCTTTCTTATTAGATAAATTGAGCTAAAAAAAAAAAGATGTTAAATATTCTAATCAACTTCATAATTAAATAAAATATATGAAATGTTACCATTATATTAGTTTACTGGTTTTTTGTTTAATTATAAAAAAAATTGAAGAATTTATAAAGAGTAGAAAATTCAAACTCATATCATCACAGATAAAATGTAGCGGGAAAAAAAATGTAGTATATAGGAGGAAAAAAGAAAAACAAAGGAGAATTTTGTATTTAGTAAATTTAGTCATAAAAGCTTTTAGGAAAATAAATCTATCTTTTTCAAACATTAGCTTTATCTTAAAATGGAGAAAAAAAAAAGGATGTCATTTATAATTTTGGAGGGAATTTATTTAATAAGAAGTTGACACATGGTAATGGTGATGTCAGCGGTAATTACTTTAGTACTCCCTCTGTCCCTTATTTACATGCCTACTTTCTTTTTTGGGGGTTTCAAAACTACATGCCCAATTCTATTTAAAGAATGTACTTTTTGACAATATTCTCACTTTTTGATGAGTTGTAATCATTTTTCTTTTATTTTTTTTTGTATTTTTGACATCTTTTTCCAACACTTTCTCTCTCCATCTCTTCAATAATTACCAAGCACTTTTTCTTTCTCTCTATATCTCTCTAACCCCACATGCATATTTGTACTTTTCAATTAGGGCTTTTAAGGAATCTCTAAGTTTCTTATTCCCGTGCAAAATGTGAATTATATATGTAGATAAGGGACGGAGGGAGTATTAGTTATGTAGATTGTGCATGAAATCCAAGATTTATTCCTATTTTTATTGATTTTTGTTTATATATTACGTTGTCATATATTTACTTTGCAATAAAAGACACATGTTACGACATTGTTCAATGGTGAAGTTAGTATTGATTATCCTTGAATTCAAGAGCTCAAGAGGCTTTGATTCAGAACACTTTTTAATATGTATATCCGGGAGATGCACTAGGTTTTACTTTGAATATCAATAAATATTATTAGAGTTATAAAATCTTAATTATATAATAATAATAAAAAAAAAAGTGAACAATAATAATTATGAAACAAAATAAGTGAATTGGTGCTTTATACAAAGTATTTAGTTTGTTATAATTGAATATGGAACATAATTAAATGATAGCAAAGATGTTAAGAACATTAATTCATTTCTTATTGGTCTTGTGTTCAAAGACTTCAAATCTTGTGATAAACATTTTTATTGCCAACATGTTTATATTATAATGGATGATGTTGCATACAATACATGAAAAAGGTGATGTGGCATATATAAGTATAGATTTGGTATAGGTATAGAATAACTTAAGTTTTTAATGACTACAATACTTATTAAAAGAAAATGGAAATGAAGGTTGGAAAAAGAAAATATTTTGATTTTTACCACCTTTGATTTTTTAAAAAAAATATTTTTTGTACTACTATTGGAGCGAAAATTGCCAACAAGCACTTGACACCAGACCTATCACTTGGGGTCTAGAATGTCGTGCGGGTATGCCTCTAGGGGTTACCGCCTTTACAATTTTACAAAGGGGAAATGATTGCTATCGTGCAAGTAATCTAGCTAATAATTACCATAACCAGTAAAAACTGGTGCAGCATAAAAATGAAAAGCGAAAGAGATATAAACATTCATTCAATTCTAGGAATTCAATTCATATAAATGATCGAAAAGCGAAAGATAAATCAGGCTTGATAGTTACAAAGAAGCGTGATGGGGATGATTACAACCATCTTCTTCAATACAATCGTAGAAAAGGGGTTATTTCAATACATGAGACAGAACTATACTTATCTAATCATATAGGTTAAGCCTAGAGGCTAAAGCTAAAGCTAAGAATTAAGAAATGTGAAATACTAATTGTTGTTTGATTGATGTCTTTTCTATATATGATCTTGGGCTGCTATTAATAAATATCCTTGACTGATTATGACTTTCACATTTTCCCGATTCTGCAGTTTGAATTTATTTAACTTTCTTGATTTTGGGGCACTTTCATTTTTGAATCCTCTTGATGTTTGTAAATCATTCTCTGTTGACAAATGGCCAATTTCTTCCATTTATTGCGCTCAACTGTTGTTATCTTGACCATTGCTTAAACTTGCTTTGTTGCTTCACTTCTTGACTTAATATTTCAATTTATTGACTATGGTTCTAACGTAACAATCGCCAGTTTACTATGATATACGGATATACCCATCGCCAAGCAAATCTATAAATTAAAATAGGTTTAACAACTACATTATATTTTCCAAAATTTTAATTTTTACCACCAGATAACGGATTTCGCCTAGATTTATGTGCAAGTGGAGCCCATCAACATATTTATTCAATTTTTGCACATGAGAATCGAAGGAATAAAAGGCACAAAAGAGGTTTTAGTTTTTCAATGGTGACCCCAATTTTTAAGATTAACCCTTAATTACTAACCAATCATTAAACGTAACATTCTTAACTAAAAATAAAAGGCTAAATCAAATTATTGTTGTTAAGTTGGGGATGAATTGGTTGATTTGCTCAACATATATAGTTAAAGATAAATTAGGTAGAAGCATATACTCCATATTCTTTAATTTCATCTCTTACTCACAAATGTGATCATCCTCGTTCTGTCTCATGAATCTAGACTCAACGTCTTATAAAAAATATTCTATTCATAAAAAATAATTGAATTCTCCCATTTCTGCTACTCCCTCCATCCCTAAATATAGTTCCCATTTGCCATATTTGATAGTCCTAAATATAGTTCTCATTTCATTTTTTAACATTTATCGTCCCTTGGAAATTACCAATGAATCCTCATTTTTTTTTTTGTCTTTTTTATGTGAATTGCATGCCAAAAATACCATCTAATTTTTCTTATTCTTTGTGCATCATTACTCCTTGTTTGTACTTTATTCTTTTTTGTCATTGAAAATAGTAAAAAAAAAAGTATCTTTTCTCTCTCTACTTTTTTACAAATGATGGAGTATTTGAGTTTTCCATGTCTTTTTAGTACTTTCTCCTCCCTTTCCTTAATTCTCGTGAAATTAGTTAAACGGGAACTATATTTAGGGATGGATGGAGTATTATAGAAAATGATAAAAGCAAATAAGGTATATATGTTTCCCTTCAAAGAGTTTTGTGGTCCTTGGGGTTTAATCTCTTCACCTTAGAAATTTTAGGGTTCAAATAAAAAATAAGCTCAATTTCAGGTCTAAAATATCATATAATATGGGGAAATTCTCATTGGTAACCCCCTATTATTGCTACACCCCAATGGTGACCCTACTTTTTTTGGATCATACAAAATGACACCACTTTACTGATTTATCCTAATTATAACATTAATGATGATTTTTTAACTTTAAATTGATCAATAAAGTTAACCATGGTTAACCTTTCCCCCCCAAAAAGTCAGAAAACAGGGTTTAAAAACCCGTTCTCCCTTAATTCCCTCAACTTCCGCCATTGTTGTCTTCTTTGCCATCCAATATTGCGCAGCCACCATGAGAAGAGGTCGAGCAATCAAGCTTTGCGACTGTTCATTTAAGAGGTATCTCGATGTACGTTTTTCTGATACACGTTCCAATCCAGACAGGCCCTACTACAAATGCAGTACTTGTCACTTTTTTGCATGGGTTCCTGAAGCAAATATTGTGAGGATTGTTGATGAGGTGAATGATGAATGTTATTTCGATGGCTTTGGGAAGAAGATGATGAAGATTGCAATTGGGATTTTTGTAATTTGGTTTTTCTGTACTTTGATTAAGTAGGTTGTAAACCCTAGATTGGTAATTTGGGGGAAATTAGTTCAAGTTAGGGTTTCATTTTAGGGCAATTGGAAATTGGCTAGGGGTTCAAATTAGGGTTTCATTTTAGGGCAATCTATGTAGTTGAATGATGTACTGATCATCCTACCTAAATAAAAATCAGAATGTTTGTTGAAATTCAATTTCTTATGTTTTGTGAATATGTTATGCAACTGTACCAATGAAGTATACAATATAGCTAGACACAATATAAACATAAAGGAAATACTTGCAGATTAAAACTTAAGCAATTGTTCACAAACCAAACTTAAGCAAATGTACACAATCCAAAATATTAAGATGCCTTGTACCCCCCCCTAAATACCCAAAATAGACTGATTCAAGTACCCAAAAAAATCAGTTTCTAGTTATTTACTTATACTAATTACAACCAAGACATTCATCTACTGAGGCTGGGTTGAGATAATTCCCCTAAGTGGCCTCAGTGTTGGAGTAGGCTGTGAATAGGACATGGGTCCTTTGCCTTTATCATTTGCTGATGCAGGACCAACTTTAGCTTGCTTCCCTTTATCCTTTGTAGAGGCAGGAGCAACATTTGCTTGCTTCCCTTTACCCTTTGTAGAAGTAGAAGCAGCAGCAACTTGTTTTGTAGTGGGGCCTCCTTTACATGTAGCTGAGTTATGCCCAAAGCATTGACAATTGTTGCACTTAATGGTTTTGCTTCTCTTGCCCTTCCTTTCTTCATCTTCTTCCCTTCTTCTCTCTCTACAAGGCCTGCCAACACCTCTTTTCATGGCAGGAGGGTCAATTTTAGGCATGTCAAAGTCAGGCCATTGATAACTGTCCAGGGATGGAGTTGATTCCACCAGCATATGCAACTTTGTACCTTCTCACAGAGTACCATTCATGGACAAATTGTTTTGGATCAAGCCTTGCATGCAAGATGGCTCTCATCCCATGCCTGCAAGGAATTCCAGAAATCTGCCACACCCCACAAAGGCACCTTTTTTCAGCAAAACTTACAGGTAGCATTGATTTGCCATCAGTCACCTCATACCCATCAGCACTGGGGTATGCTCTACAACCCCTGGACTCTTTAGTGATCACTTTAAGTCTGGCCTTGATATTTGGACATATATCATCATCTACCCAGTTTGCAGAAGCTTGGTTCCTTGTGCACATCCTCACCATTGTTGTTCTCCTAATTCCTAACATTCATAAGCAAAAGTGTTAATGCTACATTCTGAAATATAGGCATATTACATGTACATAACTAAGAAAATTGTTACCTTCCAACAAAGTCAGAACAGGTTTTGCTCTGTCTGTACCCAATGTGGCATTAAAGCTTTCCACAAAGTTGCTTTTGTTTACATCACATTTGATAGCCTCATTGAATTTGTGCTTGGTCCATGTTGACTGTGGGCCAACTTTAGACAACCATATCAAAGCAGCTGGATTGACCTTCTGCAGCTGCTCCATGGAATTTCTAAATGTGAACTTAGAATAAGCCCCACAAGCCATCCAGAAAAGGTTAAACATCAAAGGGCCAGGGAATGGTTTCTTCCAATTCTTTACCAAGTGCTTGCAACAATATCTCCTTCCAGCCTTTGGCCACAACTCAGTCAATGCAGCATCAATACCCTAAAAAAACACAAGATTTATGTAAGACAGAGATGTGGTGAAGGAAGATAATAACTACAATTAAGGTTAACTTTTATACCTTCTGTCTGTCAGAGATAATGCACCACTCATCCCTTCTCCCACTATCTTTCAGCAAGTTCTTCAAATGCCACACAAAGAACTTCCAATTCTCTGTGTCCTCAACTGAGACAATTGCCCAAGCAAAGGGGAAAAGCTCATTGTTTGCATCTAGTGCCACTGCAGATAACAGGACACCACCATAATTCCCCTTTAAGTGAGCCCCATCAACACCTATGAAGCTCTTACACCCACTTAGCAACCCATCTATGCAGCCTTTGAATGATATGAAGATATTTAGGAACTGTAAAGGCCTGTCAATATGATCTTGGGGTGTCCAAGCACAGAATGTAGCAGAACCTGGGTTTGTTGATCTGACCATTTCACGGTAGTCAGGAAGCTGGGCATATGAGATGTCATGGCCACCATTAATGTCCCTCAGAGCCTTTGACCTCATTCTGTATAGAGTACTTGCAGACATTTGTACTCCATATCTTTACCAAAGTAATTGGTTCAATGTCTTGGCAGATATATCATTATTGGCTCTTATATCCTCAAGCAACACTCTGGCAGCCCAATTGGTAGACACCATTGGATTCTTCACCTCCAAACTAGAACAAGTGTGCTCCATGTTCTTAATGGACTTGATTGCCCATGTGACACCATCAGGAAGCCTAGGTGCATGCAGCCTCCACTCATAGTTAATATCAGAACATGTAACTGTCCACCTCATATTTGATGCCTTTAGCACAACTACTGAAAACCCACTTTGTATGCAGTAATCCCTCACAACATCCCTCAAGTGTTGTTTATCTGTAAATAATTGCTATGGTTTGATGACAATTTTGCCAAACTCCTCCTCATTGTACAACTCTCTATTTTTATACAAATTTGCAAAGTAATCTTCACAGTCATTGTCATTATCCCACACAGGGCCTTCCCAAGGATCAAAGTTGTCAACAACTGCCCCTACATCATCAAAAGTATCCATATCATCTTCATCTTCATTTTCCTGATCTACATTCAGATCTTCCTGATCATCTCCTTCTTCAGAACCAAATTCACCATCACCTCCATCCCCCACATCCCCTTCATCTCCTTCATCCCCTTCATCACTTAGCATAGCTCCATCCCCTACATCCCCTTCATCCTCTTCATCACTCAGCATAGCTCCATCTCCACCCAAACTCATAGTAAGTTGGTTTGAGGGTTCAGTTGCTTCATCAGAACTTGTTCTAATAATCAATCCCCTCCTCATAGCTGTAGTCTTTGGAATTTTCTAACCAAATGTTGTTGAAGATTTAGAAGATGTCACCATCTCCCCAGAAGGCCCTGAAGCTTGCTTTGTGATAACATTCATCTCAGACAGAGGTGGTACAATCACATCCATCTTAGTTCATGTCTGACTTTGGAACCTTTTTCTAGGACTTCTTCTGAGTACCTACACTGGTTTGGCTTGTTCTATATGTGGTAACTCTAATTCTTTCCTCAGCTCTTCATTCCTCATCTCTTCTTCTCTCTTCTCATACCTTTCCCTAGCCAACCTCTCAGCCTCAGTCTCTACTGCATCCTCTATTTGCTTCCTATACCATGCCTTCAAGTCCCTTCCAGGTCCAATATGCCATATCCTACCTCCTACAAGCCTGACAGGTGCTTCTTCCCCCTAGCTCCAGCCCTACCTCTCCCTCTAGGTCTCCCCTTCCCTCTTCCTCTCCCCCTACTTTCCAACTCATGTTCTTCTTCCATTTCCCTCATCAAATCAGCCCATGTATCATCACTAGGCACTGCATTATATATAGAGGTGTACATAAACAGGACCGGACCTGAAAACCGACCTGATCCGGACCTGTTGGGACCGAACCTGACCCGGACCTGTAGATTCAGGTCCGGTCTCGGTCCTTAAAATTCAAGGTTTCCGGTCCCGGTCCGGATCAGGTCCAAACCCAGGGTTTTCAGGTCTGGACCTGAAACCCGGTAAAAATGTATTTTTAAAAAAAAAACTTTTTTTTCCCAAATATCAAAACAAGAAGTCAGTTCATTTCTAACCCTAACTTAATCACTCACTCCCTAACCCACTCAGCCAACACAAGTCACACAACACACTTACAAACCCACTCCCTCACGCTGCACACTCCTCTAGCGACCACTGGATCGCGCGACTCTAGCAACCCCAGCCACTAGAACGTGCGACTCTAGCAACCGCAACCACCACATTGCGCGACTCCAGCAACCACAACCACCAAAACACGCGACTCTAGCGACCGCAGCCACCAGATCGCGCGACTCCAGCGACTGCAGGCACCAGAACGCGCGACATTAGAGGCCGCAACCACCAGATCGCGCGATTCCAACGAACGCAGCCACCAGAACGCGCGATTCCAGCGAACGCAGCCACCAGAACGCGCGACTCCGGCGACCGCATCCACCAGATCGCGCGACTCCAGCGACTGCAGCCACCCAATCATACACCAATCGCCCTCTTACTCGCTTCACGATCTACCCCGACCTTCCTTTGCGACCATCTACTTTGAAGGTGGTAGATCTGGTGGTTACTGTTGTCTAGTATTTTTGGTGTTTGGAAATTGGGACTTTAGTCAATTTATACAATTTATGTAGTATTCATGATTGATAATATCAGATTTTATGTTATTATTTATTTTATTTTTTAAATAAAAAATCAAAAAATAAATAAAAAAAAACAGGTCTATTCAGGTCCGAACCCGGACCGGACCTGATTTTTCAGGTCTAACCCGGAACCGGACCTGTTGAATCAGGTCCGGTCTCCGGTCCTCAAAATTCCCTGATTCAGGTCCCGGTCCCAACAGGTCCGGTCCAGGTCCGGTCCGGTTTTGGACCGTTGTACAGCCCTAATTATATATTTCAACTATAGGGTTTTTAATAGGTTCACCATCACTTTCATCACTTTCATCAATAGGTTCTGTCACATTAGATGAAGTGTTTCTCCTAGGGGTTAGTTTCTTAGGTCTCTCAACAGAAATCACAGGTTGACTTGAACTACCCTCTAGATTCCTTAGACTTTTCCTAGGGATTCCCTTTTCAGGATCACATTCTGTTATACCCAACTATCCCACACTTTCTTTCAAATCAGCAGCTATTCTACTTGCCCTCAAAGTCCTAGCAGCTTTCAGTAAATCATTTGGTGAATTAGCCTCACCCACCCATATATGTATAAGGTCTCTTCCATTTAAGTTAGTAAACATTTTCATCAGGTCTTTATCAGTTATCAAGTCCACATGTTTCATTTTGTGAGCATAAGCAAAACTAGGATGTTTTGGCATAGGTTTTTTACTCTCAACAGCCTTATCCCAATACTCAATCACTAGGTCTATTAGGTTGACTGTATCAATATCCTCAACTACCACATCAACCTCAATACCCTTATACTGAAACCTCAACACTACAGCATCACTCATTCTAACGTCATACCATATTCTAAGCACAAACACAGACAAGCAGGTCCATAACACAAAATCAGTAAACAAGAAAACATTTTTTTACATTTAAAGCAAAATACTTGCATACAACCACAATACACATGCAACAAAACGATCATGCCAAAACAGAGTACATAAAATGCACAATTGGATTCTTTATATAAAAATTAGGGTTTTTCATGCATACTTGAACTTCTATTTGAAAAGGAGATGCACAAAGATTCGATCTTTCACCAGGTACCCCCGATTCTTAGCACAAATTTGAATACCCTACTCGCAATTGTTGAAATCAAAAATGTTGTAATCCCCCTTCACTTTAACCCAGAAGAAAAATGTATATCATCGCCTTTTTTTTATGGTATTATACACTGGCATTCAAGGCTCTGCGTTTTTTTGTGTCTCGATGAACCTTTGATGGGAAAGATTTCAGAGGAAGAAGATGATGAGTTATGACGAGGGAGAAAGCAGGAGAGAGAAAATTAAATGGAGGGAATACAAATCAGACGGTTGTGTGAAATAAAAGGGGGCATTCTTGTCATTTCCCTATTTTGCTTAACCATGGTTTAATTTAAAGTTAAAAAATCATCATTAATGTTATAATTAGGATAAATCAGTAAAGTGGTGTCATTTTGTATAATCCAAAAAAAGTAGGGTCACCATTGGGGTGTAGCAATAATAGGGGGTTACCAATGAGAATTTCCCTATAATATGGTTAAAATGTTGTAATTGTTTTGATTTGTTCACTCAATCTACTAAAGGTTTAATCTATTAGAGGCGATCAAAGGTTAAAACTCTGTCTAATTTTTGGCAAATTCCAGGTTGGGTTTATAGAGTCCAGGGTTTAGTTTGGGAGGCAATTTTTGGAGGGAATTAGCTTAACTATGCTACTTAACTAAGGTTAGGAGCACTTAACAGCAAAAGCCCCATTACATGTGCATTTAACTTTTTTACTTACTAATGTCACGTTTAACTAGCAAACAAATATTAGAGGTCATTTTTGATAATATAAAAAATTGGAGGTCACTATTTAGAAATTAAAAAAACAGAATTTATCATTGAGAATTTCCTTAGGGGTTGTTTGGTTTATCTAGGGAAAAGGAATGATTTAAGGAGAAGAATAGACGAACAATGTAACTCCCTTAGCTCTGATTTACAATGATGTTTGTTTTAAACAAGAAAGAGAATCAACCTTTTTTTTAAAAAAAAAGAATCAACACCACACAACCACCTCTTCAGTTCTCTTTCCCTCTTTCTCCAACCACCGTGAAGACCCCACCACCCAGGCCAGCCAGTGGCCTCCCCTCGCTTCCCCTCCCCTTCCCCGAACCCCCCTGAAAAACCCTAGAAATCACTCCCCCACCCTTGAAACCCCCAGCCGCTAGGGTTTCCGGGGTGGGGGAGGGTGATTGGGGGTTTCGGGGGGTGGGTGAGGGGTTTTTTTTGGGGGAGGGAGGGTGGTTTGGGGAAGGGGATGGATGTGGTTCGGGGAAGGCGATGGCCAGCGGGGGGAGGCGGTGGGAAGGTTGGGTTTCTTGGTGGTGGGGTAGAGTAGGGGGGTGATGGTTGCAAAGGAAAGAGAATTAGAATACCTAGGGGGGTGGGGAATCAACTTGGAACACTTTGGGCCGTTGGGGGCAATGGAAAATTATAAAAGGTAAAGATAATGGAAAAAAGGGCTAACAAACTATATTAAAGGGAATAAGAACAGTTGATTCCCTTACCTTTTTGATGAATATCTCAACCAAACAGTTAAGTATTGACATATAGCTGCTATTTACATGGCACGTAATTAGCATGAATAAGACAAAATAGTGGTGAAAAATGTTTTTCTAGTGGTACAAATAAGTATATAAATTGTCATCAAATATTGTACCACTGTTACCTATAATGAATATAAATAGTATTACTAAAACAACCTATACTCTAATAGTATAAAATACATGTATAATAATACATTAAAAATACCACTGTAATCATAAAAAATCACAAAAATTATCTAGTGGCATGTGAATTTACTACTTAGCCC